TTGAAACGGCTATTCTTTCAGATTTTAACAGTAGATTCCAAAAATGCAAACCCAAAGAAAATCGACCGAAAAATACGACTTCTAGAGCCGATTATCTATTCTTGCACATATTGAACTGTGGCACTTCCGGTTTTGCAAAAAAGATCCAAAATATATTTATGCACATCGTCGCCTATATCTAAGGTTCGTGAACGTTGAAAGGTTGCTGCAACTATTGTAGTCTAAGCTCAGGAAGGTGTGTAAAAATCGAAAAAAAAAAAAAAAAAAAAGAATTGACATTTCGATAACAAACTGGGACTTTGCCGTAACAAAGTCCCACAAAAAAGAATTGACATTTCGATAACAAACTGGGACTTTGCTGAGAGCAAAGTCCCACAATAATATCATATCTCGAATCACACTGTGAATTTATACTTGACATTTATTTACGATAGATATTTGACTTTTACCTTCACAGTATTTTAACGATATAGAATCTTTAATATAGTACATGGGTAAAATCATTTAATAGGTAGTTGCCTTCATTTTGATAAGCTTTATATATCTTAATATATAAAAACTATATCACGATTTTATATAGAGGGGTAAAATGATTGGTTCATTCTAAAATAGTCATCATAATGTCACGTTTTTACTAACTAATGTAATTTTGATCGGCTTACAGTATTACAACCTTTCAAAGGTTCGGTACTAAACTTTGATAGACAGTTGGTTGATAAATTGGTTGAATTCACAAATTACTTATGGAATGATTTTATCTAAACTAATAAACAATCGAAATTTGAAATATTGAACCGAAAGATAATTTTGTGAGCTGAATTTAAAATGAAAGTTATAAGTTGTTTAATTATCATATTGTTTATATTACAGGTCAATATACTATAAGAGGAGTTCCTGAAAGTTATGCAGTGTTTGGTGAAAATTATACATTACAATGTACTGTTACAGATTCGCCTAGTCTTGTAGATTTCCGGGGAAACAATGATGTTGTATGTACTATGATAAACTGTGGGAGTCAACCAATAGATAATAGATATAAATGTAGATGTATAAATAATAACAACAAACAACTATATCTAAATATAAGTAATATATATAAACAAGATGATACAACATGGTCTTGTGGTGATGATAACAACAGAGGATCAACTACTGTATCAGTTTATTGTAAATTGATTTTCTATCAAATAAAAAAAAATCTTATATGCATTCTGTACGTAACATTTTCAGATATAGTCTTTAGATATGTCATTCTTAAATGTTAAATTCGTGTAACAAATAAGTTTATTCTATTTAACAGTTTAATCCTTGACAAAACTTCTTGGCATTGGCCTTTACTTGATTATCCGTACCTAAATAGAACTTGGTCGAATAGAATAATGAGGAAAAATTACTTTTAAGACCCACGACCATAATATTTAAAGTAACTAACCAAACTTTTTTTTTCATGAAGCATCAAAATTGTTCTTAATTATTTTCTTTGAAGCTTTGTTTGTTTCACGTCAACTGGTGAAAAGAAATACTAGAATTATCAAATTATGATTTTTACAGATGGTCCAGAGAATATAAAATTTAACCCTACTTGTGATAATATAGATGTTACAGAAGGAAAGAATCAGAGTGTCAAATGTTTAGCTGATTGTAAACCAGATTGTAACATCACCTGGTCTAAAGATGGTTCACCAACAATTCTAAACAACCCTTTATCACTTAGTACTAGCGATCAAACTGGTTCTTATACCTGTACAGTTAGACATACTGTATTAAATAAACAACTTACAAAACAACTTAATGTTCAGATTTATTGTAAGTATATTAAATTACATGTATAACAGGTCTAACTGATGTAACAAGTATTAATATAACAGAAGGTACAGATCAAACTAAAACATGATTAACTTATTGTTATTATTTCAGATGGTCCTGATAAACTTACTTTCTCACCAGATGTATCACGTATCAATATAATAGAAGGCAGAGATCAAACTATAACATGTTTATCTGATTGTTATTATTTCAGATGGTCCTGATAAACTTACTTTCTCATCAGATGTATCAAGTATCAATATAATAGAAGGCAGAGATCAAACTATAACATGTTTAACTGATTGATATTATTTCATATGGTCCTGATGAACTTACTTTCTCATCAGATGTAACTAGTATCAATATAATAGAAGGTAGAGATCAAACTATAACATGTTTAACTGATTGTTATTATTTCAGATGGTCCTGATGAACTTACTTTCTCATCAGATGTAACTAGTATCAATATAATAGAAGGTAGAGATCAAACTATAACATGTTTAACTGATTGTTATTATTTCAGATGGTCCTGATGAACTTACTTTCTCATCAGATGTAACTAGTATCAAGTAAAGATCTTGTATTGACTGAAATAAAAAGAAATCAGGAAGGAAACTATAGATGTGAAGCTACCAATATTAAAAATACCAACCCTAAAACAAGATCACAATCTATACAAGTTAATGTACATTGTAAGTATATATATTTTACATTAACAGACAATTTGTCTAAGTGTCATACAATCTTTGGGTTATTGGGGAATCGATTTTAGTTTTCCATAAAAGTCAGTCTGTGTGAGTAGTTTTCAGATCGTAATTTGGTTGTAATTGTTCGACAGAAAACAGTCGTTTTTCACCATTAGCTTCTTTTCTAACCCCATTGAAACTATCATAACGAATATTTTAAAATTTACCCCGTAATTTGGCACACAATGTCACTGTTGTGATAAGGTTTAAATGGTTTCGTTTTTCATGAAAAATATATTTTCTATTTTCCGTCTTTCAGATCTACCATATATAACCAGTATAACATCAGATGCTGTAAATAA